TGGTTAAGCCTGTTGAACTCCTGTTGTTTTACCAGAGCTTGGTTCCAGTTTAGGAGGGGGGAGCATATATGGCTTTGTGGGGTTTGCCAAGTTATCTTTTCTAGATGCTGATTTATGTTATCAGTCCTTTGGGCAGTGGAGCTAGTTCTGCAACACTTCTATTAGCTCACCAGTTGCTGTGTAAACTGTCAGGGTAGAACCACAAGTACTTCTCCATACTTTCAGTACTTAAGTTGCGTTAAAGTGAAGTGCCTCCATCTATTTCAGCAGTGTGTGCGCAAGGCAAACTGAAAGTATAAGCAGATTGTCTTAGCCTAGAAAACTTTCTTCCAAGAAGTATGAATAACTGTTTGCTAAGTAGTCTTGAAATCAACTGGATTGTTTCACAAACTAGAGTCCTTGAACTTGGGTGCATTTTTCCTTCAAGTGGTTGGGCTCCCTGACCGCTTACTGTTTTAGCTTTCCCATGTTTGCTAAAGATTGTTAGCAGGCTCTAATTATGTTGATCAAAAGTCATCCTTACAGTTCATTTTGGACGTAAAACTTGCTTTCCTGGTTTTCGTCAAATGGTCATTTCAGCAATGACTACTATTTGAAAGGTTTTTTTGCAGTCAGATTTGGGCATTAATTTATCCCCTGGTAACATGTTCTTCATGATATTCTACAATGCCAAGCAATCTGGTATTTAAGCTACATTCTTCTGCTGTTGCCTCAACAAGAATGATTCTCTCTCTAGGCTCTTTTCCATTCTGGGGATTCTCAAAGATGATTCAGTCTAGCAATGATTAAATCCGAAATGCCAGGTTTTTCCGGTCTTTTTCTCTCTTTAAACCTTATTTTTATAGTGATTCTTTTTCCAGGTTCTATGAAATTTCTTTATCTACATTTCTTCTGTTGAGGATCTAGTGTAGTGAACCTCAAGCTTCTGTATCTTTGCTAGACCTACCTTTGACTAGAACCTCACTGTGCTATGTAGTCATGATAAAAGTAGTCTTCATTATTTCATACTACACTGAATGGGTGCATATTAGAAGAAACACTGGATTGTGGTTTTTCACATAAGGTTATTCTTTGAATCTCTTGAGTTTTTACCTAAAAATAAATAAATAAATAAATAAAATTCCTGTCTTTACACTAACCTGCAAGGTTGATTTGGTCTCCTTTAGCCAATTCCTTTTGCACTAAAGAGGTCACTGTTCTGGAATTCTTGATGACTGTTTGCAATAAAAAAAAAACAACACATCAAAATGCTTGAAGATGTAGCCTTTTCCATTGGGAAAAACATGTTAGTTTCTTCAAGTGTTCCTCTTGAATCTGAGGACGTTCCACTAAACCATAGCTACTTGAGTTGCAGTGAAGAAACTTGCAGTTTTGTGAATTGGTCGACGCACCTTTTATCAAACGTTACAAAATGGAAATTTTCTGCTGATGCTGCCTTTGATCAGCAGTTTTGTAGACTTCATTTCCTTCTAGAGTTTATTATGGGCTTTTTTTTTTTTTTTAAAGTCTTTTCACTCATTTTGTTTCTTGTGGTGCCACTATAATACATATAAGAATGGTACTCCAAGGTATTCCACTGAAGATTATGGTTTCATAGTTTCATAGTTTCTAGGGTCGGAAGGGACCTGAGCAGATCATCTAGTCCGACCCCCTGCGATGGCAGGAAAGAGTACTGGGGTCAAATGACCCCAGTAAGGTGGTCATCCAACCTCCTCTTAAAAACCCCCAGGGTGGGAGCCTGCACCACCTCACTTGGAAGCTGGTTCCAGACCCTAGCCGCCCTGACCGTGAAGTAGCGCCTCCTGATGTCCAACTTAAACCTTCCCTC